TCTCTCTCTCTCTCTCTCTCTCTCTCTCTCCCCCTTTGGCAGGGCCGTCCCTACCCATACGCAAATTACGCAGCTGCCTAGTGCACCAGGAAATTTGGGGCAACAAATTTCCTGGTCCCCTGCGCCGCTGCGTGCTGCCCCAGCCCATTCTACGCGTCTTCCCCATGGCCCCCACCCCTGCTCTGACCCAAATCCGCCTCTTCCCGCCCCTGCTCCACCCCCACTCCCTGAGGACTGCAGAAGTGGTCGGGCCTGCCCTCACCGGTAAGTAGAGCGACCCGGGCCCAGCCTGTTTCGCTCCCCTGGCTCCCAGCCGCACTGCCAGCGAGTACTGGGAGGAGGTTCTCCCCTGCCCCCCAAGCCTAGGAGTCAGGGGAGTGGAGCAGGCTGGGGCCAGTTCACTCCACTTCCCGCAGGAAATGGCTAGTTCCCCTTCCCTCGGAGGACTGGGGCGGGCCCCACACAGCCCCCCAGTGGAGTCCTGGGACCCCACACAGCCCCCCCCCCGTGGAGGCCTGGGGCCCCACAGAGGCCCCCCTCCTGGCATCAAAATAGCTAGGGTCAGCCCGGCCACTGGGATCTTTTTATAGATCCCAAGGCCAGAAGGAACCATCGTGATCATGAAGTCCAACGTCCTGTGTCACCCAGGCCCTAGGACTTCCCTGAACTGATTCCTCTGTGACCTAAAGCAGATCTGAGAGAAACATTCAGTCTTGATTCAAAAATCGCCAGCGTTGGAGAATCCACCACGACCCCTGGGGAATTCTCCCAGGGGTTCATTCCTCTCACTGTTAATATCTGAGCCTTATTTCCAGTCTGCATCTGTCTAGCTTCAGCTCCCAGCCTTTGGGTTGTGTTCGTTCTCTGTCTGTTCAATTGAAGAGCCGTCGATTATCAAATTTCTGTTCCCCAGATAGGAACCTTCTCGTTGTTACACTAAACAGCTCAAACTCCTGGAGTCTCTCACTCTAAAGCAGGTTTGCAACCATTTAATCATAACCCTAACCCTGCCCTTCCCCCTCTCCAATTTATCACCATCCTTGAATGGTGGAGACCAGAACTGGATGCAGGATTCCAGCAGTACTTGCCGCAGAGCCAAATCAAGAGGTAAGATGGCTCCTCGCACCCTGGCATGTTTGTATGTGCATGTGCCATCACCCCACCCCTGAGAGTCAAGGAGGAGGAATTATCCCCTTTTTAATGGGGGAAACTGAGGCCCCGAGTTCATCATGAGCTTAAAGGAGTTAGGCCCCCAACAAATCTCAATGGGATTTTGGCACCAAACACCCTTCATCTCCTTGGAGATCCCCCAGGGAAGTGACTGCTCCAAGGTCACGGGCAGAGTCTGTGGCAGAGCTGGGAACTGGACCCTCTCCAAGTCCCAGGGCACTGTCGAATTGTCAAGGCACATCTGCCTCAGGGCTTCCTATAATGTCTGCCATGGCACTACCTAGCGGTATAAATCAGACCCCAACCCACTAGTTCAGTGTCCAAACCATACATCCAGTCTGCCACCGCTGGGGTTTCTCAGTAGCCGATGGCTGTGTGTCTAGGTGGGTGACCAGCTCCCGGCTGCTCTAGGAAATAAACCCTTGTGGAGATTTTGCCAGGGAGAAGTGGCTGAGGAGCGGGGATGGGGAGGGCCTTTGATGGTCCTTGTACAGCCACCAAGGTCTCTATGTTCTCTCACCAGGTGTAACTGGGCAGAGGCTGGAAAGCTGAGGCTGGGAGGATCATTGATGGAACCCCGACAGCCCCATTCCCATCGTCCTTGTCACCCCATGCTGTCCATCTGGGGATGATGGGGAAAGGAGCTCAGCTGGAGATGGGGGAAAGGGTTTGGGAGACTGGTATTCAGTAGAGAGCCATGTGTGTTTGTGTGTCTCAATGTCTGTTTGTTTCTGTCCCTGCTGCCCCCTGCTGGAGGGGATCCGCCCTGCTCTGTGTGTGCGACATTCATCTCATTGGCTGCAGGTTCTGGATTCCCCAAAGGAAATGGGGTGTCTCGGGAATGTACATACTCCAAGAGAAGCTGGGGACAGCGCAGAGCTCACACGTCACATTGATGAAAACAGTGGGAGTCTCCACAGATTTCATCCTGCCACCAGATGGCTCTACCCAGTACGCACAAGTGTATGATCCGGTGTCTTTCTGCATTACATATCTCACTGTGTGCGTGTCACTGTTACCAGATGAGATAATCTTTCCAGCAGCTCTGGAGAACTGGAATCCTGTAACAGTGTGATCACTGGGAGGATCTGAACATGTGAACATAACAGACTCCCCGGAGAGGTACAGCTGGTGTGGGGTCTCAGGGAGAGGGTGGGAGCTGCAGGGGTGTCTTGAAAATATAACGGGTGAGATTTCACTGCAAGAGAACAGGCTCAGAGAGCCGGGAGGCGGAGATGCCGGGGAGAAGGTTGTTACTGGCTAACTGGAGCGAGGGAAGGATACAGGAGGAATAGTTGCCCCTGGCAATTCAACTGCACCCAACCTGACCCTGCACCCCAATCTAGCATCACACCACTCCCCAATATAACACTGCACCCCAACATAGCACTGCACCACACCCCAGATCTCACTGCAATCCAATAGGAGAGGAAGTTGCAGCCCTAAACACCTCCACACTGCACCCCAGTGCAGCATTGACCTGCAACCCAATGTACCGTGTGACTTGTGTGTGATGTAGGAGATCAGGTAGGTCGGCCCCAGGGCTAAAGAGAAAGAGAAAAAGGCCTTATTCTGCACTGATATTGAGAAAGCATCGCTCAGCATGGATATGGTCTCTGCTGGAGCCTGGCGTATTGTGTAGTCACAGGAGCAGGGCCCCGGCTCATCCTTGATTTCCATCTGGTCCCAGTTATTGGAGTTGGAGATTTCACCCAAGTGCCAGTAGAACCTGAATTTCATCCTTCTGACAGCCTGAGAGCTGAGCAGATGACTGTGAGCGGCTCCCCTCGGAGATACATGGTGTATGGGCGGGAGGTGGGGAGGCACAGAGAGAGCCTGGGGGCTGGCAGGGAGTCTGGAACAGAGGCAGGGGAGAGACCCCAAGGGAGTGAGGGGAAGAGCAGATGGGGGAACAAGGCCCCAACCCTAGTCCCACCACCCCTCTCTCGTGCTCCAGTGCCTGTGACATACTTGATGGCTGATATACATGGGGGAGCTCTCCAGTAAACCTGTGGGAACAGTGCCCCCTCCCCAGTACTGGCCACTCCACTGGGACCAGGGACCTCTTCCGAGACCAAATCCCTGCTTTGAGAGAAGAATTTGTATCCTATGGTGCTTTCACCCCCGAATGCCGAGCACCTCAAGGTAGCCCCAGAAGACAATGGCCACTCCAATTTCCCGGACAGTTCATGCCTAGCAACTAACGAACATGGATGGCCCACCCTCTGCAAGAAGGCAGTGAGCTGTGTCCAGCTGGAGAACAAAGGGCTAAGGAGAAGGGTCAGGTGACAAGGTTTCCCCGGTAACAAGAACAAAGGATTGAGGAGGGGCCAGGTGGGGTTGCTCTGTGGGCTGCTGGCAGCAGAAGACGCTCAGGGACTGGGACTACAGAGGGGCCAGAGGACTCTGGACTGACCCAGATGG